ATCATTGTCTTAGATTTATGCATAATGTATACAGCTACAGAACAAGTAATGAAAGTAAAATTAGTACCATTCAGTGAGTGTGCTTTCTATAGATCTTGTCATTGATTAGGTATATTTTGTCATTGCATTTGCTTAAAATACTGATGTGCCCAATTGTCAGTTGTTTAGGTTTAAAGATCCTATCTCCTTCTTGATCTTTATTGATTCATACATATTTATCTTAGTCAATAAACACACAGTACCAGAAAGGGGTCTCTTTCTGCAAAGGTTAGGGTGTAGCCACTCTCATCATGGTAGTTATCGTTGCAGTCTGCCAGTCACAAAGCAGACAGTTTTGTTAAAAAAGCCTTTTGTTTCATTTCTGAATAAAATTCAACCTTTCTTCGAAGCACAATGATTTGAGCAATTGAGCTGAAAACATGAAGAAAATGCTCCCTCTATTGGATAGATTAATAAAGTGCACCCTATTGACTAAAGGCTTCCAGTCTTTGTCACACATCCTAGCTGACACAAATGTGTACCCACTCAAATTAACATTTTCAGAAAGGTCAACTGTATTGATGCTCATATAAAGTTTACAGTTTAAACTTTATCTAACATCAAACCCAAATAGATTTTGTTTGTAATGTGGCAAGTTAATCAAATAAATCCAAATATCTCATCCAGCACTTTCTTGAAAAAGCCAAGACATCACCTTGTCAACACGGCTGGTTAGCTCGTTCCATACTCTCATATCTATTTTGCTAAAGAAATGCCTCCTGTTCTCAGTTTTAAATGCACTCCATAGTTCCCTCCTGTGTCCTCTGGTTTGTGTTTTACTTTTGATTCTGAAGTCCATTCTGAGTCTACTGCGATGACTTTGAGAGTGGTAGTATTTGTATGAGGTCCCCTTGTATCCTCCTCTGTTCAAGACTTCAGATATTCTGCTTCTTCAGTCTGTGTAGGTTTTCCCTGAAGGCCTGGAATGCTCTTTGCTCTTTTTGGTTGCTCTTCTCTGGACAGATTCCAGAAAAAAAATTCAAACATTTTCATTTCTTTTAAATATTTTGGACAAAATATGCTGTTTTCTTTTAGGTTTTAGTGAGAAATTGGATTTAATCAGTTTCCAGTTCTTTCTCTGCATTCTCTCTGCACAGAACTGAACTTCAAGCATCTGCTGGGATTCACGCTGATTTCTCTTAAAGTTCAGTGAGATCCTACCTCAGACGATGATGTTATTGGATTGTGTTCTAGAATCTGTTCTTGGCTTTCTGTGAAACCCACCATAATAAAGATTTATTGCGCTTGTAATTCAGAACTATAATGTATTCAGGGCTGGTTGCTGTAGCTGTTGTAGCATGCAATAGACAGATATGGCAATAAATAACTTTTCTCATTGTTCTCAGATATTTCAGAGATGTCAACCATAATGGCTTTTATTTTATTACACTTGCAGCATGATAAAATTAATGAGATCAAAGCATTTTGGCAGTGTATCTTTGTCTAAAACCACCCAGTATTGTATTTCCACCACACATTTGATTGCTCTTCTCTTGGACTGATTCCAGAACAAAAAGGCATTTCAAACATTTCAGTTCTACAGAAAGTGAGTGGAGTTTTTTTGGAAACTGGAGAAGAGTTTGGATTCCACATAGAATTCCAACTTAAACTTTTCTGTTTTAGCTTTTCCTTTGATGTGACTAAACTTTTTTTCTGTGTGAATATACATTGACAGTGCCTTGTAAAAGTATTCAGATCCTTCCTATGTTTACCTATTTTCAGAAAATACTACTTGTTGCATGCAATGTTTTAATTGATATTGATGATTTAAAAAATATATTTAAATATATTGTTTTTATTTAATATTATATTCATATATTGGTAATGTGCTCCTTCAAAATCAAACCTAATCAGGACAGTCAAATTAGAATAATTTGCACTTTCCTACGCAACTATAAAATTAAAAAATGACTTTTTGTACTACAGAGCACAGATCAGGGTTTAGCAATACCTGAAATGTCAGCACCGCGGTGCAGGTGCACAACTTCAGTCCCTGTGGCCCAGAATAAGAGATGAAGATCTTTGAAAAGTGTTAAATTGATCATTCTATATCAATAATAAGCTTAATTGTTAAGTTTTTTAGGGCTGAGAGTGGAAGCTTTCTGATTCTACAGCCCTGTAAGAATAGAGGGAATACTGCAATCAGTGAGCAATGACTGTGCTGGAAGTGCATCTTGGCAGTTGTCACCCTGAAGCAGTGTAATAGACTCTCCGAGTCTCAAGATGGCAGTATCTGCTTGTACTGTATGTCTTGGTGGTATTTGTCCAGACAAGACTGAACAAGGTCTCCTGCAATTCTTCATTTTTTCAAATTTCAGTCTAAAATTATATCTTTCTTTATTATTAATGCGGCAGCTTTCAGGGTGCAGTTCAATAATTCACCAAACATTATTTTAAATAGTCTAATAAGTCTAATCCATCCACTTCTTAAAAGAAGACAGGATATCAGCTTCAATAACATAACCAGATGGCTAGTTTACTGCTCCCACAACCCTATGTGTAAAGAAAAATCTCCCGTTTTCAATTTTAAGTGTGCTTCCCTATAGTTTCCACTGGTATCCTCTGGTTTGTGTTTCATTTTTGAGTTTGAAACACAAATTTGGGATGGATTTGTCAATTCCTTTGAGGACTTTGAATTCTTGGATCAGGTCTCCTCACAGTCTTATTTGATCAAAGTTCAAAGGTCTTATTTAAAAGGCAGTTATTAGCTTGTCAGTGTGGGACAGACATTTCTTTGAGCCAAGGACTGTATTTGTTTCGAGCCTCACAATATATTTTTATAATACATTGACCAAAACAGTAATTGACATTCTAAAGGAGATCATATTACTGTATTGTACAATTTTAACATAACATCTTTTTTATTTAAATTCTACACTTTTAAATATATATCCCAATATTGTTTGTTTTTTTGCTTCTCCTCAGTGTTTAGAAAATGAAGGTAAAGTGTCAGCATAAAAAACCTTGAAATTAAATATTTTTGTTTTTATACTTTCATTCTTCAAACTCAATGTGTCCCTTATAATATTCAGTACAGCTCCTGGTTTTGCTATCTGCATCGATTTTCTTTTAAAGCTTCTACAGTGTTTGCTAATCCTCATATTTTTGTATCTGTGTTTTGGATAAGATTTGAAGACTACTCTGTGCTATTCCACTAAGGAAATCTCAGTTTGACCATCCACTGCTGTACTGTTTGTTATCTATTCAAAAAACAGTTCTTAGTTTCAATGTCTGTATTTCCTTGAATTCCTATTGCCTGAAATTTGAGTATTCAGTAGTAAAGCCTACTGAAAGTTTTAAAATACAGCACATGAATTTATCTGTTTGTATCACATTTGGCTGTTACGTTTTTATGGATACTATCAAATTTGTTAAGAAAACTCTGCTTTTATTAATCCATAGTGACTATCTCCTAGAATCCTATTGCCATACAGATGACTCACTGGTTGAGTTCTAATTGTTGGTTCCATAGGATTGGACTATATTTACTTAATTCAGTTTTGTCTTGTTTTTTATGGATGGGCACTACATTAGCACTTGTCTAATAGTGGGTGTTATGTCTATGTTAAGTGGCTGTTGGGAGAGCTGTATTAATGACCTATCAATGTCTTCTCTTGTTTCTTAAAGTGCAAGTGGTAGAACACCATCTAGCCCTGGAATTTGGTTTATCTGAAGTGCTTCTTGTGGGTGCCATGGTGGCTAGCATTGCTGCCTTGCAGCGCTGTGGCATTCAAGGGTGTTATCTGCCTGGAGTTTGTAAATTCTCCCTGCGTTTGTGTGGGTTTCTTCCTGGTGCTCCAGTTTCCTCCCACAGTCCAAAGACACACTGGGAGGTTAATGGATTTCTGGGAAAATTGGCCCTGGTGTAAGTGCATGTGTATAGCGAGCGATGACGTGGTGTCCCGTCCTTGCACCCGTTGCTTGCTGGGACAGGTTTCACAGGTTTGAAGTAGTTTAAAAATGGATGGATGAAATGCTTCTAGTACACGTAACACTCCTTCCTCCTCTGTGGTTTTGTTCATGTTGCTCATGTCAAGACATGTTGTTTTATTTCTTCTTTGATGAACTCCTGAGGTAAATATTTTTTGTGCCACTTCCTTTTCATCACCTGACGTTTCCTATTTTTATCTGAGAGAATTTTTTCTTCATCTTTTATGGCTTCTTTTGCTGTTGTGGTATTAGTGAAATAATAAAAAAAAACATTTAAAAAAATCAAGTATTTGTATTTTGGGGGTTTCTGAGAGCTAGAATCTTACACATGATAAGCCAATAATGAAAGAATGACTCAGCCATGCATAACATTTATTGCATATTGGAGGACACTGTGCCAGTATTGAGGGTGATTTCTTGTGTATATACTGTATACTGTATTCACTGAGTGACTCAAAAGGCACAGTGGAGAAAGGAAACATTCTCAATATCACCACAAGCTGAAATCCCTGCATTCAAAGTTTGTTTTTGTCAGCACTGGTTTGGAAGGATTCCATCTCAGGAAGGGCAGTCTTTCAAGGCACAAAAGGCCAGCTGCAAACTTTAGCCTAAATGCTGGAGCAGATGAGAGACAGAGTAGTCTGAGAGCTCCTGTCAAAAATCAGTGCCTCATGACGCTCTGACTTGAGATCTCTGTAAAGGAGAGGGTGTTTTTATTTGGCAAAATCTGAATGATATAATGAAAGGAATGTGCTGTATATAAACAGAGCACCTTTTGTGAAGCTTATCTCCCTTTCAAACAGTTCTAGTATTTCGGAGGTATTATTTGTAGAGATCAACTTGAAATGAAAGGAACTGAAATATAGTGTTCTGAAGAAACAGGCGATCCTACACATCTTATTTAGAGGGGGGATTCCTATGAAAGATTCAGGAAACGACAAGTGTGATTATTGGATCTTTGCGATGAATAAATGCAAAATGATAACGGATTTCTCTGTTTTGTGTTTTTTGTCTTGTATTCATCTTTGCAGTGCTCCAGGGAAGTTGTGATATGGCAATGATATGCTTCTGCTGAAGGCAAGGTGGCCACCACAGTACATGTCAGGACTGTTCTGCCTCCCAGATCATTTTACTCCTTTTGCCTCTGCCTAAGATCTTTTCTTTTGTGGTCTTTCAAGCTTTTGAGACTTCAACAGTGCTGCCCCTCAGGTATGAAGTCCTGGTGTTTAGAGAAAAGGACCTATTTTTCAGCTTTCAAGACACTCATTTTGCCCAAACGAAACGTAATATTAAACTCCACAACACTGTCTTATATATCTCCACTTCCATTCAACTCCTTTTTTTCCCCAATTATTTGTAAGGTGTATATGCTTTATCATTTTTTGTACTCTGTTACATTTTTTCAAGACCTTTCAAGCTCTTGATGTTTAAAATCTTTGACTCAGAGCTCCAAGGACACCATATTTGACTATTGATTTTTGTTTATGTGCAAAGAACACATGTGTAGATGCATGGATTTATGACTTACACTGGATGTGAATGTGTGCATACAGCAGCAGACATATAATACAAATCTGGAGCTTCTACAGATTAATTGTCCGAAGTCAGCAGCTCAGGATCAAATTCTTAACCTGTGATATTGCGTACATGGGTGCAAACATTCTGCATCTCAGCTCTGCCTCTTCAAACATCTGGAACCCCAAAACCACAGTAGTCACTTCCTGTGCAAAACACATTGTATTTGGGGTCTTGTGTGGCCTGTTTGTCCAGTTTAAAATATTTATAATATTGTCTTCAAATGTAAATGCTGTTAATAATGTACAAGCTGAATTTTCAAACTATTCTATGTCAGTGAAGATGCCAGTTTTTTTAAATTGAAAATCAAGAAGCCTTTTATCAAATGCTGAAGACTGTTTTCCAAGCGCATTTGTTCTCTAAAATGACTAATGTATTGATGAGGAAAGAACTAAGCTCCATTTTACAGCATGAATAATCTGATTTATCTTAACCAATGAGCTTCTATAAGTGGTTAATTGTTTCATGGTTTGCATGGGAATAAATTAAAAGATCAAATGAGTTTTTGTGTATATCATCTTAGCCTTAATTTGTATCATGGGGGAATTTACAGGCTCTGATACCAGTCATGAATACATACCCATTTTTGTTTTCGTATGATAAATTATGCTAATGGAAATGTTTATTAGAAGTCTCATTTTTAAAACATCCCAGAATGCAAAGCTTCTATTCATGTTTAATGGCAATTTTGTCACCTAATACTAGGCCCGCTGACGAAGAAAAGGCACTGTAGTTGCCCTGTTACAGCACTTCCTCAACATATCTCAGGCATTATTAATCACCTCAGCCCCTTTACTTAAAAAAATAAAATAAATAATAGAACTTGTAGAATGTCTGAATAATGCTGCAATTTGAATGAAATCTGTGATGATAACATTTAAATATGTGCACAAAAATAAGGTACAGTAGGTCCTTTTAAGTAACACGAAAGTTCTGAATAGAAAAAAAGTACCCTGTGTTCCTTTAAATGCAGGTAACTGAGGTAAAACCCCTAATCTTGTTCTCAGACACAAAACAGGGGATTTGAATTTGAAATGGAATGTAATGCTAAAAAAATAAAAATATAAAATAAAATATAAAATAAAAAAATAAAATCAATATATTGATTATATTGATTATTCTATAGATTTTAGAACTGTATTTTAAACTGTTCCTTTTTCAATGATATTTGTTATGTTGCATGTTTTTTTAACTTAACAACATTGCAAACCAGTGACTGAACAGAATACTGTAGTTAAGAAAAGATCCACATTTTCAGAACGTCTCATGTTACCATTGACTCTGTGTGTAAATGTTTTATTTTGTGGTAGTCAAGCCCATGAAAACTAAAGAATGCCATTGAATTCTTATTGTTTCCTCCAGAAGCAGCTAGTCTTTTTTATAGCTGATTGTAAAATGAATGTAGTGTGCCACCCTGAGTCTGCTCCGTTCACACAGTGCTCTTGGCTCAGCGACACTGATATGTCTACCAATGATCTACTTGCGCACCATATGGTGCTCCAAATTAATCTCTACAGTTGTCATGTCAGTACATTGGGCACGGAAGTTGCAGAATAGTACCGGGCAACTTGGCAGCTCTGCTCAACTCAGGTAGTGCAAAGTGTTTTCTGTTTCTACAGGTCGGCTGAAAACCTTGTTTTCCTTTAGAAGCACAATATAAGGAGTTGTATTCCTTATAGGAGAACATTGGCTACCTTAAATATCTTTAACAGCAGAGAAAAAAATAGTATTTTGCCAACGACAGGCAAGAAATGATCTCTTGGTTTTAGATTTCAGGTTTAGCCACGTCGTTCCAGCTCTCAGCAGTGAAACATACCACCAGACTTTGTTTACATTGCATTGCAGATTCTTATCCTACTTTAATGATCACTAGTGCTGCAGTATGAGTAGAAAAAACATTTGCACATATAAGGTATTTTAAGGCCCATCTTTTGCAATACAAACTTCAAAGGTTACTGAAACTTATGCGAACAAAGGGTCTAAGACTAACATTCCTCCTTTTATTATATTTGCATTATAATGTACTGTAGCATTAATTCTGTAATCCTAGTAGTCAGCTGAAGTGCTGGTGCTGCCTGAGATGAAAGGAATAGAGTACTCTATATTCAGAATGAGTGTTAGCCCCTTGAAAACATACAGTACCTCACAATCTATTACTGTTCTGCCCAGTCTCATAAAATATGAGAGAATATAATGTTTCCAAGCAACTTACCGTGTCCAAATTTAGTGGAAATGGTCCAGCACACTATAAATCCCATGATTCTTGGGGACTGTGAAATAATGGCAGACCATTTTCCTTAATGTGCTTTGCTATGGGCAAGAAGCCCAATGTAAACTATCTCACAAGAGCTGACATGACTGTTAACACACGTACCTCTAGGGTGTGCCTGAATGTAACATCAGACCTGGCTAACGTGTCCATTCAGACAAGGGCTACAGACAGTGATTGTGGATACAAAAAACGCCAAAAGGAAATGGAATTTAGTTAATTTTGCAAAGAAGCACTGAGTCAAAACAGCTGATGGTAGATTTCCCTTTTTATGAGAGGACTACTGAATGGTTATCTGTCTCTTTGTACATAAGTTGCTGATACTATTGCCTTTGTTAGTGGACCAACCTGTAATTAGGGGTTCTGGTAATGTGGTATACTGTATAACAGTAATAAATATAAAATAGTTATTATTCATCAATCAGTGTTAATAGAGTATGGCAATTACTAAGACCATAGTCATGCTATGTTAAACTATTTAATACACATAGCATAAATCTACCTATAACATTGACAGAATGTTTTTTACAGGTGAAAAAAAGACTATTCAAAAACTCCGGATGTGACATCATGGTAACTGACATACAGAATGAGCCAATTCCAAAGGTGTTATTTTTGTGGGATAACTTTAAAGGAAAATGAATTTGTAAAATTGTAATTTCTTTAAATAGCTTAAAAGGTACTTGTTGTGATTTTTAATTTTGGCAGGATTTTAAGTTTTGGTAGTGATTTTTAAAAAGTTCAGATACTGTATGTTGGGCAAGTTACAAACATTAACTCAGGACTTCATTTGTCAAATGAATAGTGAGTTATTTTCCATCCAATAAAACATGGATGTTTAGCATAACTAGTAGCCTTTGAACGCATCTCTTGGCAAGAAGGTGAAAATCTAATACATTTTTAAAAATATTTTTGTGAAAATGAAACTGTTGATGTTGCATGCATGACTTTTTTAAGTTAAATACAGTATGTCTTCTGCTATTGGTCAATTTGTACATTTTAGAATGAGTGAGGCGTTTTGTGATTTTTGTGCAATATTTATAAAAGAAAACACTTGACTCTTTTTTCTGTTTTATATCATTTTTGCAAGCTTCTTGTAAGTAACTTGTCTTGTGAAAAATTAAAATCTTTCTACTTCCATGGCTCTCTCTTCATTATACTTTCCTACCTCTGTTTATCTTGTACTCCAAGCATGGAAAGTATTGGAAAGAATGACCTCACATTTTTTCTGTTCTATTTTAATCAGCAGGCACAGAACAGGAAGAGAGTTCATCACAGGAGAAACCCGATCAGGGTTAACACAGTACCCTGATCTTCAGCATCGGTAACACCTCTCTATTCATTTGAGAAGAGCTGTTAACTTAGAAGGTTGGAGCACAGTGCTAGCTCCAGGGCTGTAGGTTCAATTCCTGTAAGGTCCACTTAAACAAAGTGCTCTGTTTTCTCAAAAATTTCTGGATGGCATACAATAATGTGCCACTGCACTGCAGTATGAGAGACACTGCCTTCATGTGTAACAGGCCTCATCCACTGCACAACTTATAGAAGTGATACAACCTCCCCCCCTGAAATGTAGACAGTACTGTATAAAACTCTGCTGTGATAGAAGACCTGGTCTTGTGGTGCAGGGAATTTCTCAGTTCAAGTACCTCTAGGGTGTCCCTGAAGGCAACAGCAGACCTGGCTAATGTTTCAGTTAAGATACTGTAACTAGACGTTTCTAGAGTGGCGCTTTGTGGTTCTGGGCCTGCTAGTGACTGTGATTGAATCTTGGCAGGGGCAGAGCAGAGCCACACTTGTCACAGGTGCCATGCAGATTTCTCTCATGGTATAAGACCATTCCTTTTGGTGTGGCAGAGTCATCCACTGATCAGGGAGTGCTGCTGTGCATTCGCAGAGACAGCAGGCAACCAGGACTGAATCCCAACAGGGACAGGGAGAGCCACACAAGTAGATGTAAGCAGCATTTTCATCGCGTTTGTGTCTGTAAGCCACCTACATCTCTTTAAAGATATCACGTTCCTGAATGTACTGTATGTGAGTTTCTCCCCTTGCTGTTTCCTGTACTGTGCACAGTACTATAGGATAGGTGTTTGTGGCTTTACGAGACAGTTGCTCTGCTCAGCTCTCACTAGGATGATGTCGGGTCTATTACTGACGATGCAGTAATGAGTCTGCAATCAGTCTGGGAGCTCAGATTCTGTTGCTATATTTGTTTCATTGGTGGGAACTGGTATATTTTCATACCATTAATGACTGACTCCTCCATAACACAGCATGCAGAGACAGCATTCATTAAATACAGAGCAAGCAACAGAAGAACAACAAACTGAAAACTGGATATGAATCACATCCTAAGTGGGTAGGTGAAACAAAACGTGCATTAAATATCAATGATCTGGTGGTCCAAAGAGATTCTGCTCAGTCCGGGGCAGGACAGCTGCAGAGAGACAAAGGAAACAATGAAGTGAGTTGTTTTCTCACAGCTGCCCTCGGTCAAATGAGTGGGCTAGAAGGGAGCTGTGTGCTGGCCGAGTCTTGTGCGGCACACTGGAGCAGTCATGTGTATAGGCTCCAAGCACCTGCAGCTCGTGTCCAAAGCAAAAGTACACACTCACTGTGAAAAAAAAAACATTTGCAAGAGCTAAAACGTGAATAGAATCAAGATTTGGGTTGAATCCTGAAGATTAGAAACCCATTACTAGAGTTGTAGAAGCCAGAGATCTCCAGCACACATAAAATCACTATTAGTTTCTGGGTTTGTTTATGTGGGGCAGGAGAGGGAAAGTATTGATTTAAACCAGGTCTAATTCAAAACCTACACATACCGCATTTATCATAAGATGCTGATGATAGACAGCGATGACTATTGCCAGCAGGAACAGATTAAAAAGTATTTTGGGGAAGCTCAATGGAAGGCAGTGCGGTCTATCTCAGAGCCAGCAACTGACAAGAGACATTCTGAAATGCAGCATCTGTTAGATGACAAAGGAGGACAGGGTTTTTGCATGAAGTATCACTGAAGAGCTACATTCATAATGTACATAAGTCCCTTGAAAATAAGTTCCTAAGGTTTTAAGGGGAAAGTCGCAGTATCGCCATTCACTAATTCAGGGGTCCCAGTCCAGGTCCTGAGTGGTCAGACCACAGATTTGCCACATTTCTTTAACACCAACAACTGAAGAGCTGAGAGGAGTTGTTAAACTGGTTCAGTTAAACCAATACTAGGCTTATTATGGTTGTTAAGAGAAATTCTAGACTGAAAACTTATAAACACACCAACCTTGCAGGACCTCTGGTCTAAGTGTTCATCACACTGATTTGCCAGTGTAATTTGTTTCTTGAAGCTCTAGAGATACTGTGATAATATTCATTGAAAAAATGGCAGAATTACAACCTCTCATTTGTAACCTTTTCCCATACTGTTCACTTAAAGGTCGCAAACAGTATATAAACTACCTACTTCAACAGAGCAGTTCTCTTAAAGCTAATTCAGTGATGGCATATGTTTTACACACAGCTGAGCTCATTATAGTATATCGTATATATTCAAGAAGGTCAGTTGTGCGCACAATTTGGTCCTCGGTCACAAATGTTAATCCATGAGGTAATCAAAAGCGTTTCTCCAGTGCGTCCCTGGCTTGATAGCCGCGCACATCTCCAGCGCCTCTTTCTCAGTATCAGCCGGAGAGGAATGACTATCGGCTTTTTTTTTTTGGCAACGGCAGGCTGGAACCGCTCAGCTGGAGTGTGAAGCCAGGACTATATTTGTCTCTTGTGCTGTACACACACACGACAGCGTCTTTCAGGGAGCTATTTTAAAACCAAACGGCACTCAGAGCTTTTTAGTTTTAATGAAACAGGCGAGAAGTTTTGTTTATATGGCAGTATTTCGGGAGACACCATTCGGACGTTTTTAAAAGTCCGTGAACTAGCGAAATAACAGCTCAGTCATAACACGACTGGCCGAAGATCAATGCGAAATTATGTAGTATTGAAAACTTTGTTGCGGGGGGGTGGGAAATGGATAACAACAACAACAACGCTTTCACCGCGTCACCTGCTGAAGAAAGCGGCTCAGGTGCGAGCGGGGAGGACCAAGGAGACCTGCGGCTGGACGAGGTGCAGATGCATCTCACCTGCTTACCCGAGCGCTACATGAAAGCGAAATTTACTTTGTCGGCGTACATCCTCTGCTGGACCGTGTTACAGCTCTGTCAGGTAGGAAATGAACAAAACTCTCTACGTTTCCTGAGAGGCTGAGGGTTGGTACCTTCACGTGTGCACCTTAACATTTCAGAGTGCAGTTTAGTTACGATGCAGACAGCAGTACTACACGGACAGTATTTGTCTACTTACGGCGTTTGTAACTGTTTCGCTTGAGCTTGTACCGTGTTTGTACTGCGTTGCAGCCCCTTTGTGAAATCAAAGGACACCCGTTGCCTAGACAAAATATAACTTGATTTATAGTTGGTAAAACTTACCCTGCCAAACAGCCCTGGCAAATACACACAGTGCTGAAATGAACCACTTCTTAAGAGAGCCAGAAAGCTTGTTTTTCTTTGAAGAGCAGTTCAGCGTTAGTATTGAACAGGAGGTTTGCATCGGTTAGCTGGAAAGGCTGACAGCATCATTTAACCCTTTCGATACTGACAAGCCTAATGCACATATTTTGCAACGTTAAGTGTCGCTACACAACATATGCATTTAACTCTTTCTCAAGGCAGGAAGAAGTTTCTATAGAATTAATCCATAGGCATATCATTAAAATTTTAATCAACACACTATATCACAAAATGGTGTTTCCTGTACAACAGAGACATAAAACCGATTTTCATTTTATTACTTTATAGCCTCTTATACTGCAGCTAAGTGTTTTTCTCTGAGCTAAATGTTTGGCTGGTCATTTGGCAGATTTGGTTACAAACTCTTCAGTTCCATGTTGCTTGGTACAAAGCAATGTACTGTATGTAATAGGGGTCTATAAAATTCTAGAAGAGCTTTTAACTAACAATGGGAAACTGAGTGAGCTGTTCTCAGTTACAGTAGTTTATGCTTGTGAATCCACTTCTCTTTTCCAAAGTGCTTGGTATTCAGAAGCATAAAAGGTTTCTATGGAAACTCCTTTGGCTTACATTCTAAGGCTGTGCATGAGTGATGTTATTATTTTATAGGTGCACAGGCAATTTGAGATTCTGCATGTGATCAGTGCACATTCCTGGTAGCTAACTACATGTGATAGCAACAAGTTGCCCCCTATGGATTATCTTTAAACAGGACGACCAGAATTATGTGACTGTTTTTATATTGAAAAGCGTTATTTTTAATGGACAATGCAATGCATGCTTAAACTCTGGACTATTACAATGGAATAAACCTTTAGTTAGCCATGATAATAATCAGATCATTTTGTACATTCCTTTACCAATGGTGACTTTCCATTTTAAGTTCATTTAGCGATCTCCCTATCATAAACTCTTCTTAAAGATACAAATAAACCCCCAAGCCACTAACACTTAGATTTTTAATATACAAGTCTGAATTTTGAATGAGTCTTTAAAATGTATTTTTTGGAAAAACTGTTTTAACAACAGAGTAAACTAAACATGTACAGAACTGAAGAAACAATTTGTAAGGTGTTTCTTTAAATGGGAACTCTTATATTGTGTCTGGAGTTTAACTCAATAAGCAAGCAAGAGTTATGACAGATGAGATGTTTAGGTCTGTATTATACAAACAATAGGTACGTTTACTCTGGTGAGCACAGGCCATAAACAGAATGCTATTATTGTTGTGTCATGCTGAAATCTCATTTCTTCCAAAATCCATGCTTCGTGAAAGGTATACAGATTGTTTAAAGACTCCTAAAATTTCAGCAGGACAAATCTAAACATACCATTTGGCTGAAAAGAAGGAACACACAATTTAAAAAATGAAGGCTTCTTTCCATTTGAGTTTTTTCAC